AAGAAAACCATCTGGGATAGGTCCCTAGAGAACGGTGGCCTAAAGAAGGGGTGCAGCAGAAGGAGCATGAGAAATTAGGAAGGTTGAAGGAAAACTAGGAGTATGGACAACACAGAAATCAAGAGCAAAAAAGAAAAAGGTGAGTTCTGTCAAAAGAGTGATCAAGTAAGATGGGGACTGCAAAGTCCATTAGATTCAACCCCAGGGCAGTTGCTAGTGACCTTGGCCTGAGCTGTTCCCAGAGTGAGGGTGATGGATACCCAACTACAGGAAGTTGGTGAGCATGTGGGCATCCCTTTTAAGAAGTTTGACCCTGAAAAATTAAAGAGAGAATGTAGCTGAAAGGGGCGTGACATTAAAGGCAGCCTTTTTTTCCCCTTTCATAAATATTAGGAGAGTGTTAAACATGTTTAAACACTGATAGGAAGGATCCAGTGCAGAGGCAAGGAGTAAAGATCCAGGAGAGAGGAATTAAGCAATAGATGGGAGGGGGAAGTGGGAGATGGATGAGGAGAGTAGGGAGATGGCGGTCTACTTCAGGTTACGAGAAAAGACCCAGATTCTGACTCTGGTCACAGGTAGAAGGAGGGGAAGGACAGAGTGTAGGTAATAGCTCCACCACAACGATGATCATTTATGGAGCTGGTCCTCTATTTTGTCACTCTCATGCAGTTCCTTCTTCTCTCACCTCTCTTGTCCTCCATCTTCCTCTACCTTTTCAGCATCTGGCAAAGCCCCAATCTTCCACGTTTTAAGCATCTGTCCTATAGCAGTTGGGCTGCTGGAAAAATCAGACAGCTGAGCCAAACCTCTCATGAAAGCCCCATTATTACTTGACATGTTGCTAGTTAGCTATTCCCACTCCCAAGACATCCATGTTATACCTTCTCTCATCAAAATCATCTCACACCACCTCCCCAACTCTCACTCTCAGCAGATAACCTCACACAGATTTCACAGAGAAAGCACAAGTCATTTATTTCCCTTACCTTCCCACCTCCTAGCCTAAAAGCCCCAGTCTCTGCCCTCCTTCTATCAAAGATCCACCCCTCCTCTAGGGCTTGTATCCCACCCCAAGCCCACAGAGCCTGTGCTGCTTTCACATATTTCCCCTCACAGCACCATCTTTCTGTCCTCTCTACCGGTTCTTCCCTGCAGAGCAAGTAGGCTCCATTATCTCCAAACTGAAAAAGAAAGGGAGAAGAAGGGAGGAAGAGACTGGGGGAATAAAGAGGGAAGGAACCCACTAGACTTATGACACCTTCCAGCCATGTTCTCCTTATGGAATATGGTGCTCAACTACAACAACAATAAAATAACTTCACTGTTTTTATTTTATTTTATTTTATTTTTATTTTTTAAGGTGGCATTGGTTAATGAAATTCAGTAAGATTCAGCTGTACCCTTTAACAACACAGTGACTTTAACAATAAGGCATATACATATTTACACTGTGTTCACCTCCCATAGTTAGATTTCTGTCGCCACATATTTGACCCCCTTTACCCCATCTACCTACCCCCCCACACACACCCTCTCATAAACACTAGTCTATTGTCCACGTCTGTGAGTCTCTGTCTGTTTATTGCTTTTAGGTTTATATCCCACATATAAGCGGTAAGTGGTTTTCAACTTTTTCTGTCTGGCTTATTTTGCTTAGCGTGATTGTCTCAAGGTTTATCCATGTTGTCGCAAATGGCAGTATTTCATCTCTTATGGCTGAGTAATATTTCATTGTATATATGTACCAAAGCTTCTTTATCCAATCATCTATCGTAGGACACTTTGGTTGCTTCCATGTCCTGGCTGCCGTGAATAATGCTGCTATGAACATCAGTATGCAAATATATTTTCAGATATGGGTTTTCACCGTGTTTTTAATACAGAGATTTCTGTCAGATTTTTTTTTTTTTCAAAACAAAAACACCAACTTTCCTGCAACCACAGAGAGCAAATGGAATTTTTCATTCTAAACAGTTTCCACTGAGCTTCACCTTAAGAAACTTAGTAATCTTTACTGTGGATGTATTTACATCAACTGGTACAATTTTGAATGAATTTTTATATTAAACTTTGAAAAGTGACTTCTACAATTTTCTAAACAATGCCTCACAAATCTTGAAATTGATTCAAACATCAGGGACTTCAACATGTATTTTAATTAGGTAAAATAACTCCTATCGTAAAATGGAGTTCTTAGTTTTCTCCTGTCTCTACTTCCTCACTTCTCTTGTATTATGATTTTAAAAATTCATCATGAACTGCTTCTAACTCCACTGAAAAGTATAGAGGACAAAAACATACCTGATGCTTAGATTTAATTGGTATGAACATTTCTTCAAATGTGCTTTAGATCTGTTTGAAAAGTAAAAGAGAACCTCATATAGCTCTCTTTCCTCCATCTTGGAGCACGTGGAGGCCTGCCAGGAACAGGACTTCTAAAATGACAAACATGTCCGGAAGGGTACAGTCCAAGGCCATTCTTGCTGGCTGTAAGCGAAGTCTCCAGAACTAGAGAGAGCACATAGCTCTTCTGAAAACCGAAGGTGAACAGAATTCTCTCTAGACAAGAGATATGCATATGTAGATAAAGCAAAGAACAACAGTGACGTCTGGTGTCAAACCAAACACTCCCAGAGTGATCTGGGAAAGGTAATTTGTGCCCGTGGAAACAGTGATGGAGTTCATGCCAAATCTTGAAGCAACTTTCCTGCTAAGGCCTTCAGACACAAAATCTGCATGATGTTATACCCATCAAGGATTTAAATTCATTGAAAAGTAAATAAATAGAAGTGTGATTTTGTTCTCTTGTAAAACAAAGCAAAACCTTATACATACAGTCGAAGACTGCAACGTACACCCACAATTCCATTTGCTCCCCTGTCTCCAGTAATACCCACTACTCTGAAGTTGGTATGTTCTCCATCCACCCTTGGTCATGTGGTGTCGCTGTTTTCATGATACATCATTACACACTTCAAATATGACTGCTTTTCTTTTTTATTTTATTGTATTTGTTTGTTTTGGGTTTTGGTTTTTGTTTCTTTCAGTCTCAACGAGCTTCATCTTAGTTATAGGACATGTCTTCAGATGGCTCTCTGGGTTGATTGTTCTACAATTTAGTTGTAATTTTAATGTGGTCATGGGAAGAAGCAAACACAGTGTTTACTCCACCTTCCTGCCTGCTCCTTCCTTGGTCATGTGTTTTAAAAACTTATTTAAATATTATACCTTATCCATCCTTCTGTAACTTGCTTTTTTAATTCAACATTATGTTTTAAAGATTTATTTCTTTATATCTATAAGTCTTGTTCCAGTTCACCTATTTTATTTTCTGCATAATATCCCATTTGTTTGGGCACACCACAGTGCCCGGGATGTAAAAACCAGCTGGGACATTAAACAAAGGGACATACATAGTGACATTACTAGATCTGGGAAGGTTTCTCAGGTCTTCTATTATTGTAAACGAAAATGGGAATAGAATTGGTGACAAACTCACTGCATGTGAACCAATTAAATAGTTTGTTCATCTTATTAGGAAATGCGTTTCCAACACATTTTTACTTTTTTGTGTTTGGACGTTAAATCCACCAACTAGCTTTATTTTAAGAACTCAAAAAGTGTGAACATAGAGTATATAAACATGATACAAAAACAAAGTTTTCCCACGCTAGTTCCTAATTACTCAGTTCCCCTCCCTGCCACAGTCATGCTGACCTGTCTGTAATTCACCAGAGTTTGAAAGTCAAACTCTTAGGACAGCCATAGCGTGTAACTTCTAAAATTTACTAACCACTTGTATCCGCTCCGTTCTCACTAGGCAAGGGAAAAGCGCGCCATTTCCTGTAGCTTTCAGGGACGAATGCCTCATCGGTTTTAAAGATGCAAGTTGTGATTGGCTGTCATCCCGTATTATGTTAATGAAGCTTGGCAGCTTTAAATTTTTAAAATTTCTTTTCCACTCAAAATGTTAAAATGCAATGTTAAGTGATAGCATTGGAAAGACTGTACATATTGAAAAGCCTCTGTCTTTTTCCAGTGGAACCAGAACTAGGGAAACTACTTACCATGACTTAAAAGTGTACAGATACTATAGGCCTAGTGGAACTTGTCAATTTCAAATTAAGACTATACTTTCAGGGATCATTTCTATAGTTTGTTACTAGAGAAGTTTCTCTGAACGTGTAGAGCACCCGAAACCACGAGGAGGAGGTAGGACGTCCTCTTCTGAGCGTGAAGTAGGCATTTGGTGTTTCCGTGCGGAACTGCCATTTGCCGTTGATGATCGTTCTTCTCTTCTTTTGGAAGAGTGAGAGGAAGAGGACGTTGTCTGAGTGGTTCTACTTTTATTTGTTGAAGAATAGAAAAGACGTTAGTAGTTTTATGCTTCAAAATTGCTTCAGGTGTTTTATCTAGCTTTTTTTGCTTACCAGATTTTCATATTTTGTAGGGTTGCGAAGTCTTGTGTTGCTTGTGGCGGTTTGCTTAAGAACTGATTCAAATTTCAAGTGTAAGCTTGATTCAGTTATGCCGCTGACAAAACATGTCAGCTCTTTGCTGTTAAAACGTTTAGCAGCTATGCGTTTTGGTCAAGGGACAGTCTTGAGTGGCTGCCTTTTGAGAGCCAAAAAGAAAAGCACTTTAATTAAACTTTTCTTGGCACTTTCTTGTTTTAAGGCAGTTGTTCTTTTTCTCTCAGCGCCATAATTATTTCTCTTAATTGTTTCTCTGGCTAAGTGCAACTTTATTTTTTAATTTTTTAATCAATTGTAATAGTGATTAGTATGATAATATAAATTTCAGGTGTACATTTATAAGACATCTGTATATTCTATCGTGTGCTCACCACCCTAAGTCTAGTATCCTTCCGTCATCATGTATTTGACCTCTTTTACCCTCTTCAACCTCCCTCACTCCCTAAGTTTTTACTTTTTAGGTTGAAAGTTTTTAACTTGATCACTTATATACTTCAAATAATGATAACACTCATTCAATCCAGAAGGTGTGTTTTAACACTCGGAGACTTAAGGTAACAAGAAATCTTTTAAAACATATAGATGAGTGTGAGCATCTTTTCGTGTTTACTGGTCCTGTTGAAGGACCTGCCCGTTCTGGTCTTTTGTCCATTCTAAACTTGTTTTTGTCTTTTGTTTATCGACTTGTAGGAGTTCTTACTTTTTATATTCAGGAAATTAAACCTTTCAACAGTTTAAATGTGTTGCAAGTTATTTCTTGTAATCCGTCAGTTGTTTTTTCATTGTTTATTATCATACAGAAGTTTTAATATATTTAATCCATCAATTGTCTCTTTATAGTTTTCTAGATTTTAATAAATCTTTCCTTACCCTAATGTTATAAAAATATGCTCCTGTATTTTCTAAAAGTTTAAGATCTTTTACAGTTGAATTTCTAATTATCTAGATTTTTACTCCTATGCGATGTGAAGTAAGGACCTAATTTTATTTTATGGGGCATTGTTGGCAGTATTGGAGATTGCAGAGGGTTGGAGACACCCTAATGCCCATCACCAGAGACTGATAGGTGAATTGTACTATTACACAACAGTTGGAAATAATGTATTAGATGTCACATCACATCAAAAATATAATTAATGACAAAAATGAGAGCTACGATGCAGTATTATTAACATGACTTTTAAAAATCCATGCACATACACAATACATTCATACAACAATACCCATTTTGCAAGAATAAAAAACAAAAAAGAAATATATTAAACGCAGTAGAATGGTTGCCTGGAAGAAGAAGGTGAATGCTAAAGGGATATGAGAATAAAAGAATGAAAGAATGAATGATAAATAGATAATTAGATAATAGACTACTGATGATAATATGTCATGGATGGATTGTCACCTGGGGGCCAAAGATGATAGATAAATAAGCAGAGCACCTTTAAAACGAGAAATAGATGATAGATAGATAGATAGATAGATAGATAGATAGATAGATAGATAGATAGATAGATAGATGATAGATAGATAGATAGATAGGCAGACAGACAGGAGGAAGGCAAGAAGAAAAAATGAAAGAATGGAAGAAGAAAGGAAGGCAGGAAAATAAGACTGAGTCATCATCAAAGTGTATACAATCTAGGGAAAATTATTCTTGTGCCCAGAAGGACATAAATATTCGTGACTCAAGGAGTGGAAGAGAGGGGCAAAACAGAGGGGGCAGTGCAGAATGGGAGCTGAATTTCTTCTAGGGAGTCCTTCTAAACAGTACACCTTGACTTGTCCTTTTATAGGCTCTATCAAGATCTTCAGAAGCAGCAAGTTTCTCCTCACCACAGGGCAGTATTTAAAGCAAAAGGCAAATGGTGCTAAATATCATGTAAACAATTACTCTCTTTTTCTCTACATCCCACCTCATACCCCATTTCTGTCATCAGAAGCAACCACCATCAATTCTCAGCTGTTTCTTCTGCTGGGTATATGCCTGTTTTTTGTTTTATTTGATTTGTTTTCAGAATAACAGACATATACTGTTGCCTCTTGAGCTACTAATTTTAGACGTTGCTTCTTGACTTAAAAAACAAAATTCAACTGAGTAAAATTTGAAGATCTTATTGGCTTTATTCAATAATTCATAAACTGAGCAGCATCCAAACTAGCTGATAGAAAACAGCCCCTAGGAGCTGTACAAAAAAAAAGACTTAAAGGCAGAAGGGAACAAGAACAAGGAAGTTACATTAGGTGAAAAATCGGATTATTGCAAGGTTATTTTCCTTTAGGGGATGACAGAGGTCTGTCAAGCAGATTATTTAATTAGTGCTGATCAGGCAATTCCTCATTGGTTTAATTCTATTTCTGGGAAAACTAAAACTGTAATTAAGTCTTGGTTTGGTGATGTGGGGTTTAATATAAGCAACTCCATTTTGGAGTCCTGTCTTGTCTTATTTTTAATACGAACATGCTGGATGAGGGTGCTCTCTCTCTTACATCCCTCTTCCACGTGGCCTTCTTCCCTATGTGATTGCATCACAATATTGTTCTGAGCCAAGCTGAGTTCTATGGTTACATTTACTACCATGCAAAACTATTTTCCTAGAGTTAAAATGTGCCTCATTTTAATACCATTTTTACTTTTTCTATTTTTAAATTTATGAAATATTTGACATGTAAAAGAATATATGGAACATATATTCCTGAAGCATAATAAAAAAATAACTACCCCAACGCAATATACTAAACAGTCCTTGATTTGTTCTGTTAACTTTATTCCCTGAGAGCACCTCTCGAATCCCATCCCCCACCTCCCTGACCCCAGAAGTAACCACTCTCCTGAAGTTGGGATTGCCTGCCCAGTATCACTCTGTTTTGATTAATGTGGCTTACTTAATCTCGTAAGGAATGTCTTCTCTATTTATTCTTTTTTCTCCATTTTACTCAGATATTCATGGATCTTATTTCTCCATGTAATATTAAAATAACTTTATGAAGTTCCTTAAAAGATTCTGCTGGAATTTTGATGGAATTTGCATTAAATTGTTGGATATATTTAGAGAGAAATAACATCTTGACCATATTACAATGCATCAATTGAATTTCTTTCCATTTGCTTAATCTCTTTAAGTCCTTAAAAAACTTTAAACTTTTTTCTCTATCAAGATCATTTTTTATGTTGGTCCCTAGGCACCTTCTATAATTTTGTTGCTACCGTATCTTACTTTTACATTTACTGGTTGGTTATTGCTGGTAAAAAGGAATACTAGTTTGTAAATTGATTTTATTTAGAGCGACCTCTCCAAACTCTATTTTAGTTCTAATTATTTATATATTGGTGTTGATTCTCTTAGGTTTTTCTATATAGAAAAGCACATCATCAGCAAATACTGTTTTCTCTCATCCCCTCTATGTTAGTGTTCAGTTTCTTGGTGAGTAACACAGACTCCCAAAAGAGTACCTTGAACAAGAAAGAATTTAATTTTCTCTTCAAATGAAGGAAGCTGGAAGAGAGGAAAATCTCTGGGTGTTTCACGGTGTCAAAGACCCAGACTGCTACTGTGGCTACGCATGGCCACTAGCACATAGCTGAAGCCAACTACTTCATGTGTGTATCTTTTCCCAATTCCATCTTCAGTGACTTCAAGTTGGTAGCTTGAAATCAGCCATGGTAGGAGTATCTACACCACAGAAATAGGCAGATGATACAAATCAGGCTCCAGGCTCCCCAACACCACCCCAAGAACTTGTTAAACACTAACAGCACACCTCTTCTTCCGTTCTCGCATGAGGATGGTTGCTGAGTTATAGCCATTATCTCCGCGCTCTGGTAGCAGGAAAGAGAAAGCGGAATGGAGAAAGTTGCTCTATATCTTTTAGAGAGAAGTCTCAGAATTACTTTACACAGGCTTAGAGTACTTTCGTACGCATATAGTTATAATATTTTCACTTCAACTTGAACTTAGTCACATAGCCATATTGAGCATCAGGGGAGTCTGGGAAATATAGTCTTAGCTGGCAGCCATGCTAAAACAGGAGAAATACTACACATAGGCAATTAGAAGTCTCTGTTTACACCTTCCAATCCTTAAACACTGATTTCAGTTCCAGGTTGAACAGTAGTGGGAACAATAATCCTTTTCTCTGATCTTGAAGAGTCTGTGTCTTTATGTACGGTGTTTACACTAAGTTTTTGGCATGTAGCCTGTATTATGTTAAGGAAGTTCTCTTTATCACCAGTTTTTTGGGATTGCTTTTTTTTTTTTTTTTGAGTTTTTATCAAAAAAAGGGCTGACTTTCTATCAGATGCTTTTCTTATTCTGTTGAGATAATCATGTTGTTTTTCTCCTTTGGTCTATCGATATGGAGAATTATGGTTGCTAGGTTTTCATATGTTAATCATCTTTGAATTCCTAAGATAAACCCTATTTTAATTATGATACATTTTTTATTTGATTTTACCTTTTGAATCTTATAAAAGGATTACAAGATTCAAAAGCCAAAACTATAAAAAATACATAAACTCAGAGCTAAGTCTCACTCTTGTCTTTATCTTCTTGATATTATTCCCCCTCATCCCATGTTCATTAGTTTCTGGTTTAACCTTTCTCCATCTCCTTTTGCAAAAAAAACCCATTATTACTATTAGTAGTAGTAGTAGTACAATCACACATGTATTTTATTTTCCTTAACAAAAGATAATATATGCCTTATTTCATTTAATAATATATCCTGGAAATCACACCCTATCAGTTTATAGAGATCTTCCTCATTCTTTTTTGGCGTGATATTCCATTGAGTGGATATACTATAGTTTATTTGACCAGTTCCTATAGGTGCAAATTTAAGTTGTTTACACAATTTTGCTATAACATAT